CCCCAAAACCCCAAAACCCCAAAACCCCACTAGCCAGAATTTCCTTGATATAAGAGTAAATAATTAACTTTTTAAATTTATGAATTTATTTTTAATGAAATAGATTTATTTAGAGTTGCTACTGTTTTCATTGTATTTGGAAGTTATTTAATCAAGATTATGATGATAACTCATTTTACTTGCTAGCTTAATTTACTATAATATACATTATTCTTATCAATAGTAGTCGCTCTTTTTCTACTTTTTGACTTTCCCTTTTTCTTTTAATCTGGACTTCTTTTTTCAATTGAAATTTTCTTTAATTTCTTGTTCGGATTTCCCTCTATAAGTGGGAGTAAACTATGTGATTAAACTATCTTAGATTTCAAATTTTGGATCTTCCCTTAATCTCTTTCGATTTTCCCAAAACTATTCTTGTATTCCTATTTAAATGTCTCTACTCTCTCAAGAAACCTAGTCTAATTCTTATGAAATATCGTCTGCTGATACAGAAACTTATTCTTGTAGGATTCTTTATTAAAGGAATCAGGCTAATGATCTTCTGTTTAAAAGTGATTATGATTGTCATCATTGTTTTGATATGTTTGAAACTGAGTATGAAATTAATTATTTCTTGATTTTTAGAAGGGATTATGGGTCAATTTCATTACTTTGATTTTCTACTAGATTTGATGTGTGAAACCATCAGGCTAACACTCCTTTAATTTCATAAATTTTGATGTTTAATCAGGACTTTAAGAGATAGAGGACTTAGCAGGGCTTAAATCTATATTACTATCTTAGGTGTCTTTTCTAATCATTTTCCTGCTATCATTGCTGTTGAATGCTTGTTTAATTAGTTTCATGTTTAAGCCTACCTTTTTCTTAGACTACTTTTCACAATCAAAGATAGGACTTAATCCACCCATCTATCTAGTTGGTCTATATTTTATAATAAGTTTCTCAGTATTCTATTAATGCTACCTTAATTTTTCTTATTCTAAAGTATCTTTTAAACTTTGATTAGCTTATTAAAATCCTTCCAGATGTGAATCCTTAGATTGTCGATTTCTCAGCATGTTTTATCTTACTCTTGGACTTTTCTGAATCATACTCTTCAAGTTTTTAAACAAACTTTAAGCTTTTCTTCCAGCTCCATTAGTTTTCAATTACAAAGATATTCCAGATGAGAATAATTCTCTATCCTCTTCAACATCAGATTCTTCTTCAAACAATGCAGCATAAGGCACCTTCTTAGTCTCTCCTCCACAAAGTCCACATTCACAGCTTTTTCTTCTAATAATCTGTTTGCTTTTCATCTTTAGCTGCTATTCTTGTGACTTCAAAACTGAGTTTCTTCGCCTATTCATGACCAATTAGGATGACATGAAAAAAGATTGTCTTGGTTTGATATCAATTTTAGCCTATGCTGTCCTATTTCTAATCTCTCCTTCTACAACTCTACTATTCTCTCTTAGGTACTCAACATGTGTTTTCTTGTTCTTTACAATGCTTGGCCATCTTAGGTCAGTGTAATTGAAATCAATTAAGCTTAAATTTTTGCTGTCTTTCAATAATTTGTCTTACTAAAGATCGTTTGAAATTCCAGATTACACTGTTAAATTCTCTTTAGAACTACTTCCAATATTCAAATACTTATAGTCATTTCGAAGAAATCTTTTTTTTCCAGCAACTCTAAAAATATCTTGTAGAGTTCTTCTAAGTTTCTTTTATTGAACTAATTAAAGATACTTCTGAGCCATGAAGCTTTATTATCCATTTCTGATTTAACTTTCTATAACATCTCTCTTATACCGAGAAAGTTACTCAAACATACTAATATATTGAAATTCTTGCTGTTCTTGCCACTAGGTATTTGTCAGCTATTCAGAATCTTTGTTATTTCGAGAAGTTGGGTTATCACTTCTAACCATAGAGTTTTCTGTAAATGCCGAACCAATTTAACTATTTTTCCTGGTCTTAATTATTGGAATTGTAATAATAGAATTCGAAGATTTGTGCTATAGTTACTATAGCGTAATGAAGGACGGTAATGATGTAGATTAGCCTAGACCTTAATAATTAGGTTCTCTCATTTTAACAGGGGAGTTTTCTTTTGCTTTTTTAATAGCTTGGTTCATAAATGATGTGTACTTATTAGAAAATGGAGAGTAAAGTCCTAGATATATACTTTTCCACCCCCTAAAGCCAGGCTCATCATCAAAGGTCATCATCGGTATATCATCTAATACACTCTTTACATCTTTCTTTACATTTTGTAACTCTTGTTACACCCTTTACCTCTCCTATGATACATAAAATTCAAATCTAATTTACCATTCTGAGCAATCTATCCTGATTTATCTTTCTGATTGTACTAATATTCAATGTAGTTGAGCCTCTTGAAGCGAAATTTTTCCTTTTTTACACTGAATTTGAACTACTATGTTATCCGCTCATTTTTATTTATAAATATTAGATGATTGAGTTGAGCTGGCTTTAAACTTACTCGAAATTCTAATGTAAGGGGTTTTGGGGTTTTGGGGTTTTGGGGTTTTGGGGTTTTGGGG